AGTTGGACCCAAGGAAATACACACCAAGGCACATCATAATGACATTACCCAAGATGAAAGATAAGGAGAGAATCTTGAAAGCAGCAAAAGAAAAGGAGACAGTTACCTACAAAGGAGTTCCTGTAATACTATCATCTGATTTCTCAAAAGAAACCTTGCAGGCAAGAAGGGGCTAGAAAGAAGTATTCAGTCATGAAAAGCAAGGACTCACATCCAAGATTACTCTTTCCAGTGAAGTTATCATTTAGGATGGAAGGGCAGATAAAGTGCTTCCCAGAGAAGGTAAAGTTAAAGGAGTTCATCATCACCAAGCCCTTATTATATGAAATGTTATAGGGACTTATCCAAGAAAAAGATCACGGTCAAAAATATGAATAGCAAAATGACAACTATCATTGCACTGACAACAGCAAACCCACAACCATCAACAACTGAAACTAAAAAAACCAAAACCAAAACCAAACTAAGCCAACAGCTAGAACTGGAACAGGATCAAAGAAATGGAGATCACATTGGAGGGTTATCAGTGGGGAGGAGGAAGCGGGAAAAGGGGGGAAAAGGTACAGGGAATAAGCAGCATAAATAGTAGATACAAAATAGGGGGAGGTTAAGAATAGTATAGGAAATGGAGAGGCCAAAGAACTTACATGTATGACCCACGGACATGAACTAAGGTGGAGGGGATGCTGGTGGGAGGGGGCGCAGGGCAGAGGGGGATAGTGGGGAGAAAAAAATGGGAAAATTGTAATAGCACAATCAATAAAATATACTTAAAAAAAAAAAGAAAATGTGGCAGAAAACTTCAGTGGAGGAAGGGGTGGAAAATGAAACAATGACTCAGGGAATCCTGAGGCTTCAGATGAGACTCAAGGGAGAGAATGTAATGGGGGTCACGGCGGAGGCTACATTACAGCAGTCATCGAGTATAAATGCAAATTACATTTAATTTCCTTGACAGCTTTAATCTGATGATTTAAGTGCAGTAAGCATCTAGGGAAGCCATATGCCCTACCATCCAGGGACTGCTGGGGTCATTTCTTTTTTTTTTCAAGACGACTAGCAACACCAAGAAGGCAAATTTGGGAGTAAAATGTGTGCATTTCTAAAAACTCCAAAAGTGACTGACATGCCATAGCCGGGGCTGAGGAACTGCTGTGATCAGCTGTAAATCAGTGCATCAGGTGTAGAAAGGGGTCAGGAAGCAAGATGGGCACAGAGAGGAAAGAGATGACGGCTCAAAGGTTGGGTGGGGGATACACATGAAGATCAATTTTGTGTCAGACTGGTTTTGGCTATACCAAATCTGTTCATATGTAATTTCTGGATTTTCAAAACACAAACTAAAGGAAAATCCATCTTTTGCACCATCTTGTTAAAAAAGGACTGTTGGTGCATTCATATTTAGAGAAATAAAGTGAGACTTGCCTTGTGGGTGGGTGAATTGGGTTCCCAGACCCAACCCTACCATGGGGAGAGGTTTCCACATACCAACAGACAATTCTCAGACCCGAGCAAGGTGTCAGAGAATTCAACTCTATTCTGACACTATCTATTGGAGATATAGCCTCAGATTCCCCAGGTTAAGGGCTTAGCCCTACAACATTGCCCCACACCCTAGTACACATTTCAGGTGCCAAACTCAAGTCCAGGTTACTGGTGCTTCTGACCAACTGGCCAGAAATTGGAGGTTCCAGCAAACCCCTCCAACTCAGAATGCCAATATTGTCATCTGAACTTCTGACTGACTGGCTAAACAGCTGAAGTTCCTACTGTTCATGTAGGTAGCTAGCTAGTTATTAACATTGGAAGGGAGCAAATGGAATCAGACATAAAGACTGACTAAGATGCTGCAGCTTCACAGGCTCCCCAGGGCACAGCTGTATCCTTTACCAAAGGGACTTCATCCCGAAGTGGGCAGAAAGAACTGCTTTCCAATCTCTCTGGAGGACAACTGGCCTGTTAGCTTGGATTACTGCGGGAAGGGATAAAACAGCAGGGGAAATTCCTTTGTTGGATGCATTCACAGTAGAAGCCAGGATGGCGCAAGTGTAGGTAAGCACGTACTCAGTAGAAGCCAGGTGACAAGGCAAAACTATGGGGCATGTACAGTAGGAACCAAAGTGGTGACATGAAGTGGAGGAGGCTAGCCTGGGAAAATCTGGGGGAAAAAATTGGATAGGATAAGGTCATGAAACCACAGAAGATCCAAGAAAGTGACTGGATAGGAGGAGGGCCCAGAGAAAAACCAGTGAAAAATTAGGAAAAAGATTGGTTAGTTTGAAAGAAAGCTTACCCCTTCCCAAGACCTAGGCGATATAATCAAAGCTTAACAAAGGGCCAAGGCTCATTCATATACGTGGTCTCTCTCTGTAGCTGCCACGAGGGTCTGGTAGCAGCATGGGCCCAAGTGCAGGTTGACTCACAGGTTCAAGTGCAGCACTGGTCTCGGCCCGTGTGCCATCAGGTCTTGGTGGTGGATGTAGAGATGGGGAAATGAGATGCAGAGAAGTTCTGTATCTTTGGATCTTGGCTTGGGTGCAGGTCTGAGGCCCCAGAGGCTGGACTTCTTCCTCAGTGGGACAGAGCTGAGCCACCCAGTCATGGGTGAGACATTGGGCAGCTGGAGGTAGTCCATTGTATTTGCTCCAATAAATCTTGATACAATTGCTTGTATCCTCCTATGCGTGAGTCCCCGAAATACTTTCTCACAGTCCTGTGGAAGAATCCTATTTCCATCAGCAATACTACACCACCATCCTTGGGTTCAGTTAATTTGCTAGAAAGGCTCACAGAGAAATATCTTACTGGATCACTGGTCTGAAAAGGGTATAACTCAGGAATAGCCGGATGGAAGAGGTGCATAGGGCAAGGTACGAAGAAAGGGCAAGGTGCTTCTACGCCACAAACCTCTTCCTGCTTCTTTGCGCGGTCACCAGCTCAGTTCTCCAAACCTTATCCTCTTCAGTTTTGGTGGAGGCTTTGTTACATCGTCATGACTGATTAATCATTGGCCACTGGCAATTGATTCAACCTCTAGGCCCACTCCCTTCCCTGGAGGTGTGGGGGTGCTGGGGCTGAAAGTTCTAACCCTCTAATCATGTGGTTCGTTGTACTTTCCAAAAGCCAGATCATTAACATAATAAAAGACACCCTTCCTCACTCTCAACACTTAGGAAATTCTAAGAGTTTCAGGCGCTTTGAGCCAGCACTTCCTCCTGTCTCAAGTCTTTACATTTCTCATGTTCTCATAATGGCCTATGTGTGGTACTTCAAAGTTTTATTGACCTCTAGAAATACTGTCATCTACCTAGTCATATCCAGATGGGCAAAAAGATGTCACAGCTCTTGATGACAGCTGTGTGCATGCTTATGTGAACATGCAACATATGCTCAGCTACCACCCAAGCTCACCCACGGAAGGTGAAGAGGCACACAGAACAGTATCAACAGGAAATAATGAAGCCGAGGGTCCCCATGATTTTGATTTGTGACTACAGCTTTAGAAATCATCCCGCCTGCCCCTTCACCACATCTCATAGACTTCGCCTTTCCCCTTGATAATCCTTAACCCTTGCGTCAGTAGAAGACAATGGCCTGGACCTGACCTATGGTCACAAGGACAAGGTCTGGACCTCTGACAGGCTACAGGTGACATGGCCTATGTTATGCTTCAGCTCCTGAGCACTAAGGTGGCCCTCCCTAGCAGCTTTCCCACGAAATCAGAAAGAGGGACTCTGGAGCTGACCTCAGAGCTGTCCTCAAGACCTGAATGAGTGATTTATTACCTTATGTCACCTTGGACCTGTCAGCTTCTAACATGACCTGGAACCCCTAACCCATAGTGTCTTGTGATTTTGCCTTACATAATTTGAAATCTAACACAGCATCAAAGAGTCCAGTCTTTCAGTGCAGGAATTAGCCCATACTCTGGGTTGGTCAATTCTACCACAAACTACTTCCTTCCTCCACTGCAGACAGCAGCTTGTGTATTTCTTTCAGATGTATTTCAGCTTCTTTTCAGAAATGGTGCATGCAGGTGGACAGACTCAAATATTGAGGTTCGACAACAATAAAACTCAAACATTTCCATTTCTGTTTGAAATGTATTTCTGGTATTTTTCTCCCCCTTCTTCTTTTATCCTGCTCTTACCCTTAATCTGTTTGTTTAGGCAGAGGATGACTATGATGTCAATATTTTTCTCATTGACAGCAAGGGGAAAAGGCACCATTGATTTTTCTGAGAACACGAATCATGTTAATCCTCCCATAAAATTTGAGTTTGGTTGTGATGTAATTACTAACAAATAAAAATTATATTAAGGAAAAAAGATCACTTTTGCAAGGCACTTGGTTTATAATTAGTTCACAAGAACTGGTGCCTTTAAATACATAATTAACTTAAGGCTGGGTCCTCATTTAGATCAACCATCCACCCATTTTTTTTTTTCCTCTGAAAAGTGGAGACTGCAGTGTTCTCTTCTACTTGCAGTCCTCCCAGGAAATATTTCGATGTCCTGACTGTGTTACGGAGTGGCCATGACAACCCAGAGATGGCGATCGTGCTATGGCAACCACCTAAGTTGGTTCCCTCAAAAGCAAGTGCAACAAATTGCATTTACTCTTCCATAAAAGTAAATCGACATAATTTGATCAAATCTTCTTTCTAATTTAACAGGTAGGTCATGAAACCACTCTGCTGAATGAGGGCACATGCTATCCTGAGTACTTGAGTTGAGCACACCACTAACATCAGCACAGAGGTAACTATTAATTGGCTTAATTGCTCTGACCATGAGAATAAAAAAATACTGAACTCTTGTTGGATAGAATCCCATCATCATAATGTTATGCAACTTTATCATAATGCTAATCCTAGTTCTTTGGTCTCCCATAGGCACGTAAGATCTTCCATTAGCATCCAAAGTACAATGATGCCTATCTATTTGGTAGTGTTTCTATAGATATTAGAAATAACTGAGAGAAACACACTTTCATCACAGAGTTAAAGTATTTAATGACAAAATTAGAGTTCGCTACAATAGTGAATCATGAGCAGGTGTTACTCATCTCTGAAAGAAACAAAAATTATATGACATCTCAGAGAACTTCTGGGGAACTAACTGTACGACAGACATCAGTGGTGTCACAATTCTAAAACTCAAAAGAGAAATCTATCTTTAATGTCTCATTAAGGGCATTCTGTAAATATTTTTACATAAATGCACAATCTTTGCTAGCCACAAAAGTAGTATCAAGACAGATTTCACTGTAATTTGAAGTCTAACACATAATCATTATCTTTTCAGAGCTTAAAAAATGTTAACTACTGATCCTGCTACATTTTACAAATACATTCTTTAATATGAAACATTAACCTGAATAACTGTATACTTCCTGTACACAGATATCTAGTAATACTAGGGAAGAAGACTACGGCTACATTCCAGGAAGTAATAACACTGGGAAATTTCTTTTCATTATGTGTTGTCAATACAATTTAAGAAGTCCTTCACAAAAACACAGTACCCCAAAAACTCATAGTGAAGTGCAGAAATGAAACAAACAGATATTAACTGTCTCCTAGCAAGCTCGACCAAATGAATTGGTCCCAAATCATGTGAGTCATTTTACCGATTTCCTCTAGGTCAGATTTTATTAATATTTTGTATTGCAGCACCTTCTACAAAAGGAGAGCAAAGAACTTCATGTGTGTCATCCCCGGGCTGCTGTGCAGCAGCTCAGGAGGTTGAGGAGGGACAGGGCCTGCGGCTCTGGCCTCTCCGGGGGGTGAAGTCCTGTGTCTGACTCTGACCCTGGGAGGTCAAGGGCATGACTGTGGCCTGAAAGCAAATCAATAGAGGAAGCCAATTCAGATAGGTCTTCTTCTAATCCAGGCTATTTCCAATAAAACTTACGTCTAAAAGGATAAACAGAGAGTGGGGAAAGATGCGGAATACTTACATTTATGAAGAGTAACTATCACAATTCAACCAGGGAGGAAGAATCTCAAATTTCACAGTATGCTTATGACCTCATCCTCTGCTACCTTAGAAGCAGCTCTGCAGAGCTGTTGCTAGATAGTTGGCAACAAATTGTATTTTTGAGTTTGGCCTATTGTCAGGGGGTTTTAGAGTCACCCTTTCAATTTTTTATACCAACTATCTACCTCTGAAGCTAGAATTCAGTTTGGGAAGATTAACGTGTGTGTTCTGAAATGGTATCTGCAAACAAAATCTCTTTGGAGTGATAGTTTGGGTTTGCCTTAGAAATTATAAATGCTTGTAATGGTACTCATCAGACACAAAGTTTCTTGTTTCTTTAAACTTTTTACACACCAAAAGAAAAGTACATCATATTATAGTAAACTTACATAGTTTACCATATAAATTTTACAGTCTTCTAGAACTGGATCATCTCCCTAAGAGGATTCAGAAATTTGTCTCCAGCAAATCTCATCACCCTTTTGACACAAACTACTAAGATAATCACCGCTGTGCCTCCCCCCCCCCGCCCCCCATAACCCATCTTTCTGTCTCCCTGGGAATGCTCTATCAGGAGAATTTAAGCTACTTAAATCAGCATAAATAATCCAGAAGTCACCTTACACTGCTACGAAAGAGGCTACAATACACATGGATTCAATTGGCTCCACGAATAGGAAGAGACAAAAAAGGTCCCGAAGATTCAGGCAGCTTAAAAATCAATGCGCTGCAGTGGGAGGCTGGCAATGTGTCTGAATGCACAGCTTGCCTCCTGTTTCAAGAAGACAAAGCATGGCTTTTATGTTTAGCATGTTAAACCCTCTAAGAAATGAACTCCCAGACTCTAAACCCAGTGCTATCTTGAGTAATACAAAACCACATGTGTGTACCAACTATTTTCAATTTGACTGCAACGGAAAGGCTTCATGGCTGCTGTCTTCCGTCAGCCCTGGCAAGCTGCAATTGCTGGGAAATGCAATTTGTCAAGAAACCCAAACTTGAAATTACATTAAATAAACAGACAGCAATAACAACATCAAAACTCCCCAAAATCTGATACTAGGGAACTGAAAGCCATTTCCCAAGGACATTGTGAGGGTGTTTCTAAAATAGACATGACTTTGTAAAAAGAAAAGAAAAAAGATTTTAAATGTAGTATGTTTTCACATTATCAGTTACGCGGACCTTTATCTGGACAAATCAATTCTTGATAAAAATCCAAGTTCTTTTCAATACCAGCTACCGGAATTTGGGACAATGACAAAAGAAAGCAGCAGCCATAAGTGCACAAAGGTTTTTCAGTAGCTTTTTCTTTGGTCTTTAATCTCAAATTTTTATCCTTCATATGATAATTTCAAATAATCAGCCTAGAAACAAGTATTCGGACAGCTCAAACAGGAGATTTCTATCTGTGATTCTGATTTGTTGTTTTGAATGCTAGTGATGGCTCATGCTAAAGATTATTACATAAAAAGCAAAAATCTGAGACTGCTCTTTCCCGTGATAACTCCAATTGTTTTCCATAATACAGATTTATTTCTCAGGATATAGAATCTTAACCTTCAAATTAAGAGCAGCTGGGATATTGAGTGAACCCAATCACTGCTTGCCTTTATTTCCAACCAGGAAAAATAACATCTGATGTCACCATATTAAAATGTCTTCCTGCTTAATATCAGGAAAAAACACATGATGCCAGCTTAGGCCCAACTCAGTGTATCATTTGGTCCAAATTTCATATTCAAACTACCACACACACACAAACCCCCCCTCTAAAAACAAGGAAAACATACAAACATGTACACACGGTGGAAAAAACAAAAACAAATTGAAGCTATTGCTATTGCAGCATTCTTAGCAAGATGTAAAAACACCACGTTTTTTTAATATTAACAGAAAAACAGATTAACATATCAAAAGAAAACAAAAACCTTAGATGTCCATATATCATTGGAAAAAAGAAGCAAGTGGAGGTCCGGAATTCTTGTAAAAACTGCTGAACAGACTCTTCCATTTCTCTTAAGAGGGTCACCAGGACAGGCAGTTTCTCAACATTTGTGCTTCATGGCAAGCTAAGGAGAGAGAGGCATGAGACAAGGAAGACGTTGTTAAGCGGCGGGAGAATTCAATGCGTGCTCCGTCCCACGTCCACAATAGGAAGCAGCACCGAGATTCTGCCTGCTGGGGCAGATCACCATTACTACGCACGGTGGCATCTAGTGAAAGTGCAACGTTTTTCCAAATCGCCTGTGGAACCCTGCATTTGTTACTCCTCCTCACAGTAATTTTGTCAGTGTACGTGTTCAGGTGGGGGAGAGCGCTAGGTGGTGTTCCCTCATTCCACCCAAGAAACGCCTGGAAACGCCACTGCACAGGCAGCGTGAGGGACCTCCCCTTGGAACAGGTCGGGAATAGAACTCAGACCTCTGGGCTCCCGGGTTACTAGGCATCCAGGAAACCCAATGCTCTTCAACTGTTAAGCATTTCCTGACATCTGCTACAGCATTTAAAATCAACAATGGTAGAGAAACAATTTTCAATAATCCATTCAGTATCCAACCTGGACATTCAATCAAGTCCAAGGCGCTGGACTAGACCCTGTTAGGGCTGAACAACAGACCAAGTCCAGACCTTGATTTACTCCTCCTGTTAGGTAGCAGCTAGGAATGAGCAGCCAGAGGGGAAATAAAGGCAGAGCCCTCGCCATTACAATCTAACAAAGAAAGGAGGCTAGAAGCAAAAGGAAGACATGTCTCACCAATGAACTCAGCAGTCCTGAGCTTCGTTTGATAAGATTGCCAGATGCCCCGAGCATTACAAGCAAAATAGCACAGGAGGGAGGGGAGTCCTTGAGATTGTGCTGGGAAGGGGGGGCTTCCGAAAGCTTCTGCAGCAATCTCACTAAGATTGCCAAGTGTCCTAGCGTCACGAGCAGGAGGAAGGGGAACAGTCCTTGAGATTCGGTACTGGGAGAGGGGGCCACTGTAGCAATGTTACTAAGACAAAGAGCTTTTACTAACTGAGAAAGCCTTTGTAGCCATGGAGGAGGGGTACTTCTAGAAGCCAGCTAAGGTATATAAACCCTGAACCCCAATAGTTGTAACAGCAATGTAACTTTTGCTCAAGTGCATAAATAAACTATCTTATTTCCACCGCGGGTGTTGGTCTCTTGCTTGAATTCATCTCTTGCGGGGAAACAAGAACTGAGGCAGCTGGGGGCGGGGGGTGGGTGGAGAACGACCTCCTGACTCGGGTCTCTCTCTCTCCCATCCCTAATAAACCCACTGGTATTTGAGAAATGTGGTTTATTGAAATGTTAGATCTTAATAAATGGGACCACCAAATACTACTGTATCATTCAAAATCTTCCTCAGCCCAGCTGGAGCCCTTAATGATATATTTAAGGAAATGAATGCAGGTACAGAACATAAAATTAAATATGGCTTTGCTTTCCTTAGCCAGATTCTTACCAAGAAGCCCAGAAGGCAGAGTTGAGGTTGAGCTGTAATTCTTTATATGCCCAGAGTTTGATATTGGGGATCAATCCCTGCATTTGGGGCCAGAGGGACAGGGGTAGGTGGCAGGGCTCTGGGACTGAGAATGTTTTTTGAGCAAAGAACAGGTGATTCCATGCAGGCAATAACTTTGTAGAAAGCCCTGTCATCTGCCTCAGGACCAGGTTCTTGGCCCTTGAAGAAGTAGCAAGGGCCCCCTCCCCCGTCCCCCGCCACTTCCACCAGGAGGTGCTGCATCGCTCCGGAAGAAATCATCGAGGATTCATGTCCCCAGCGTAACCCACAAGTCTAGGCTCCCCTTCCCCTTCTTGATGTCTCTGACAAAGAAGCTATAAACCTGGTGCTACCACCTCAGCTAGGTCACCTGCAAGAGCTGCACCAACGTATTTCCTGCAGCTGGTGCACCCGGGCCAAGTCAGCACAGGAAGGAGAGGGGACTGTGGACTGAACCCTCGTGTTACTCAACTAATCTCTGCTTGGGCAACCTCGGCTGAAAGAGCTCCAGCGCCTCTGTCTGGAGAAGAAGCCTAGGGAAAGACCACATGCCTTCTGGAGAGCTGACCCCAAGAGCCAGTCAACTGTCAGACATGTTTGTGAAGTCCCAAGTATGCCCAGGCTGTATACGAAGTGCTGTGGATTTCTGCCATGAAGGTTGGAGGTGGTTTATAACTCCTGACCTCAAACAGTTTATGGGAAACAAGGTGGATGGAAATGTCCGAGACAGGGCTCTCCCTTAGATCCCTCCCACTCCCCAGCCACACTCAGAGCCCCTCTGCTGTGTGGCCCTACTTCTTGCTCTGTCTTCTAGTTTTTTATACGTTATTTAGCAATGTGGAACATTCACATCAACACAGAGCTGTTAAGTGTTGTGCATAATGAGTAACTGTCATAAATATTTGATCAGTGCTGCTGTCCTGTCACTCACGCAGCTGTTAACCTTCAGCTAGTGTGCTGGTGCCAATTCACCCAGTCATTAGTCTTCGGCAGCTGCTCACACCAGGCCCTGGTTACCGCTGCAGTGAGTCTGGACCCACAGAAGGGAGTCCTGGCCACATGGGGTGTGGCCAGCCCAGCTTTGCAGAAATATAGCTGGACTGGATTGGACATTCTGCTATTTGAGATATTTTGTGCAGAGAGTCAGAAAGCGGCATGGTTTCCATGCTACTGAGGTTTTTAATTCCTTGGGAGCTAGGAGCTCAGAATATGGAAGGCAGGGTACTGTTGCTTCCCTGCTACAAGTCTGACCTTGAATTCTAAAGTCACAACTGCTCTGTACCTCCTGTCTATAAATATCATCTCCAGCTCGAGTGCTATGGATCAATTTAGAAATTAGAATTCCTGCAGGAGTTTAACATTTCCTTTTGACATATTTTGTTTTATTAATATGCCACAGAAAGCTGTCTCTTATTATTAATAATTAATAATAATAATTAAAAAATAATTACTCATACTGGGGTACTTTTTAAGAGGCCTGGACCTTTGAGGTCCCTTCTGGCTCAGGGACCCAAAGGAAGCACACAGACAAAGGACAGAGGCAGCCACTCCCTGCCAGTGAGATGCCACTTACCACTCTCTCCCCCACAAGCGTGGATTTGTGCAAAACAGGGCAGATCACCATTCCTATCTTTGAGAAATGTCATCCGAGGATGCCGAGGTGTGGGTCCCGCTCTCGCCTGCTGACTCACTGCCCATGGCGGGCCTCAGAGCGTTGCCCGCGCTGCTACACTGTGCTTTGGGGGCAGGGGAACATGAGCAGGTCTGCTCTGTGGCTGAGCTACACTTTCCTAAGGGCTGAGACTGTGCCAAGCCCACAGCTCAGGAAGGAACCACACTTCCTCAAGCCAGGCTGAGCCAAGCTGGGGGAGAAGGGGTTGCAGGGGCATTTTCCATCTGCTGTACAGAAGACAAGCACCCATATACCTTGATGGCAGGGTTGTGCAAAGGTGATCCACTCTCTGACATACACAGGTCATTGCAGGAGAACTGGGGGAAATTAAAAAGCTGGAGACCCTTTTCTACTGCAATCTAGAAAGGTGGGTCCTATGCTTCAGCTAGAGTTGCATGCCCTTGTTCAACCAGGACACACAAAGAACTGTCACCTAGAATTGCCAGTCTCTGCTCAGGGCTCTAATACACGCACTGAGTCTCTACTTGTGAATGCAGTCTGCTCCTTATGAGTCAACACAGCCCCGTGTGTCTGAGGGGTTGGAAAGTCTGGCCTCCACCTCCGAACTCTTTCTTCACCAGCAGGCCTGTGAAACGGCATCTTCATGGTCAGCCTACACCGATGGGTTCAAACCAGGAAGTCCCAGCCTCTGAGAAAATAACCATACCTTACCTAAAGAGATCAATCTCCTTATTAGGAATCCTGCCACTGCTGGTGAGTCACAAGCACACACCCCGCTTTGTGAAAAATGGCAAGTCTGGCTCCAGCAGTGTCTCCCTCACACTCCCTCAACAGACACTAGCAGCCCTCCCCCTTGGAACACCCACCAGAGGGGAGGTCACTGGCTCCAGCCATCCTCCCGGTGGTCAAAGCCAGAAGCCCTTTTGCCTTTGGTGGGCTAATCTGTTTCTGTTCTGATGGATCCTGTTTCAAGGGCTGCTTCGTGTTTAGAAAGCATCAGCATTTAACAGGAGGCCCTGCCACCTGCCTTTGGAGCCCACAACATCTCCTCCAATCCTCCCATCCCTGTGTTAGGACCTTCAAGCCTATTTCTATCACTCCCCTCCACCCCGCACACTGTGCCCGTTATGAGACCAAATAGGGTAGGTTCAGTAGAAACAAATCTTATGGACATAACTATAACTCACATTAACTTAGATTTATATGTGCCAGGCATTGTGCTAATAATAGATTTAGACGTTTGAAGTAATTTGGTTCTCTCAATACCCTGGAAGATAGGTGTACTAGCGTTAATTAGCCATATTTGACTGATGAGGAAACTGGAGTTTAGAGAAATTCAGCACTTGCCCAAGGTCACTGATGAGTAAATCTCTGAGATGGCAAATCAAACAAAAGATGTTAACTACTATACAATACGGTCTTCCCAACTACTTTGCAAACTTGGCCACAACATCAGGGAAACAGGGTGACCGGGGCCAAGAATTCTGGCCATCTGGTTAGGTTGTCCAGTCCAATGTTTGCATAAGTTCCTCTGAGGGGGATGCCTGCATGGATGACCTCCCGGTATTGTCTGCTCCAACTTAGGAAGAGCGATTTCACAGGCGTCCTTGGTAACCTGGTTCATGGTTTAATCATTAACCAAAGTTCTTGTTTTAGCAGAATTTTATCAGCGCCCTATTATTGATCACTCTATTCTGCGTCAGATCCAAAAGAGAATTACCTGTGCTATCACCCTTCCCAGACTTGAAGACAATCACAAATTATGCTCTTTAGCCTTCTCTTCCCCAAATCAACACTTTAAATGCTTCCCCAGACTTCCCCTGTCCACTCCCGATTTAAATGACTACAGTTCTGCTGTTATAAATGACGCAGGGGGCCAGGGGGCTGGAATCCTGGCATATTCTTCTCATCGTTATTTCTGTACTATGAAGGCTGGAGAAGGGACCAAGGGACAAGAGAAGAGTAAATCTGAGCTCGCTCCCTCTGTGACAACGACAGTAAGCAGAGGCTCTGGCCTCCAGCAGGATGGCCTGTGTTTTCAAACAGATCTGCCACCTCACCTCCAGGGAACCCCAAGGGACTCCCGAGGCAGTGGTGCAGTAATACCCCGTCACGACAGAGAAGTGGTAACACAACAAGACAGGTCTGTGCAAAGGGGATGCAGAAAGGGAAGGCAGGGAGCACCCATTTGAAATCGACCTGCAGTCTGGGCCAAGCCTGAGCCCCAAGCCTGAGCTCAGCTGCGATTTTTCTTGTTATTTTCCAGGTTGTCTAATCTTGTTTCCTCAGCAAAAGCGGGGTTTTCTGTTGAAGCAAAATTTCCCCCCCAGAGGTCACCTGAAAGGTGTATCTGTAGAGCCAGATCATGAGTCTGAGATGCTAGCAGTTATCAGTAGAAGCTGTTTCTGGAAACCTAAATTCAAATCGCTAGCCAGAGAAAAACTGCCCTTTGATCTAAAGCACAGGAACAGCAGTAAATCCTTTTTATCACCTGACCAACAGGGACTCTCTGGCCTTTGGTTTGTGACTGCCTTAGATAACTGGCTGCCAGTAAAAACTCCCCCTGCCCCCTCTGAAAGCCACATTCTTAGCAAGTGTGTGAAGGTGGATGTGTGCACCCACCACCACAGTCACGTGGGAAGTGCTTTTTTTCTGGACTCGGGATGGGAGGGAATATTGCGGGCAGCTCTGCACCAGTCAGGTCGGCCTTAGAGGTCCACGCCCCTTGCAGAGGGAGACCAGCGCTGAGATGCCCTGTGCCCCAGGATGAAAGTTTGGTTTTCGTAAGATGAAAAGATAACACAGGATGCTAAGCTCAGGACCAGAAAGAGACGGCAAGGAAAAGCAAGCACAAGCAGCCCAAAGTCCTCTCAAGAACTGGCCAATGGAAGAGGGATATTCTGATATCTTCCTCCCTCCCTGACGCTGTTCCCTGAGACTTGAGCCCTAAACTTCTGGGGAGGAATTAAAGGTGGTCCACATTTCTCAAAGGTCCACGGTCAGAGATAGGAATGAAGACATCAGAAAGGATATTACCAAAGAAACAGGGACAGGAAGGAATCCTTCATGACTCTGGTACTTAATAAGTAGCAGACAGAAATTGCATAGGGAGGGAAGGCCTGATTTTGTATCTTCCATCATGGGAGACATAGTTTCCCAGCATCAAAGCTCCATGACGGTCCAGAGCTGAGATCTCTGCCATCTGCAGGACCCACCTTGTGTGCAGTTTCTGCAAACTGCTGGGCGCTGTTCTTCATGTCCTCTGTCTTCTCCTCTGCTCGGCCTAACCGCTCCCCGCGCTCGTTCAAGGCCTGGCTTGCTTTCTGTACGGCACTGGTCACGCTGTCGGCCGCCGAATGGAGGATGCTGTTTCCTGAAGAAAGACAGCAAGCGCGTCAGAAGCTGGCTCGGCTGACCTACAGTGACAGATCCCTGCCTGGGGTGAGCATCCTGTGAGAGCAAGAAGGGTCACATTATAGAAAGGCCTCCAGGTCTAGGAAACAAGTCAACATTTCTTCTGACTGGGGCTGACTGACTCACTTGTAGGAAAAACACCTGTTGACTGCAGGGCCTAGGCAAAGGCTGAAAGCTTCTCTCACAAACCCAGCACCAGCACACCACTTATTTCCACTCTCCTGGCATTCTGTTTGGGGAAAGGACTAGGTCCGCATGGATTTAGAACTTGGTTTGCAAATGGAAATGGAAATCCTGACAAGTTCAGAGAATTAGGCAAGCTTAATGAGACATATCTAGATCTTACGTGCCCTTCCTCTTGACCTGGGGTTTAGGTGAATAACCTCAGGAAAATGGGGGCACAGAACTTTTCCAGATATAACGCTCTATATTCCCTTCAATTCTTCCCTTCTCTTCCCTTCCATTTTACCCCTTCATCCTTCCACGTATGGCTCCCTGTAAGCAGCTCTGAATCAACCTCAAAGTCCGGAGTAGATGTGCCACTGACCAACCTTGAATCCTGAGCTGCATCTTGGCTGGCTGGGCCTCCTTGCCTCTAATCTCTAGTATTTGAAATATGGAGCCTCAGCGCCACACTTGGTCAGCAGGTGGAAAACAGTGAACCAGCCTGAGAAGAAACTTAGCACTCCCAGATTCAGGAGTGATGACAACGAGGAAGTTGGAAGCCATCATGTTTCAAAGGGCCAGGCACCCTTGACATCCACTTGCCAGGACTAGGAAACAATTCAACAGCAAAAACTCTCAGATGCATAATCCACTGAGAACAAGCATCTTGCAAAATGACAACTGAAGGAAATTTATACCTGTATTTTGTTAACACTGAGTGGAAAATTTAATGGCATTTAATGTAATAGCTTTATGTCTTTGAATAAGTTTACATCATTTAACTCTGTACCTGGGATGGATACATCTAGCCACAGACAGCTTTTAATAGAAATGTAATTTCCTCTGGTCTCATCTGCAAAGGCTTACTAACTTCTCCTCTGTGGGAACAGTCTGTGGCTTGCGGAAAAGGATCTCAGACAAAGAAAGTGCCTGGCCCAGAGGAAGCACTTCATAAATTGTTTACCATTTTTCTTCTTTTAGGGTGGATTTCAAGGGCTTCCACTATGCACTAAAGGAAGGGGCATGGGGTTAACTTAGTATTACTCAGCGGCATCAAGCACTACAATGAATCAAGACAAACTGGCCTACATGAACAGGGACGAGAGGAGATGAGGCTCTGGAGAAACCCAGTTGAATGCAAGAGCTGGAATGGAAGGTCTAGGTCTTCAGAACAGATTTGGGAGGGGAAATCTTGGTCCCCTTTTGCATTTACGTCGTACTCACAGTGTGACCCTGTCATCACGGCCTAACATTTCAATAGCATTTTGCAGTCATAAATCTCCTTCACAAATATATCATTTGACCATCACAAACATTCTACTGAGAAGTCTGAGACTAGCTGAGGTTAAGTGGCTTTCACAAGATCATGTCACCAGGGATGGGACACAGCCAGCACTGGAACCTGGTTTTCCAAACCTTTCCTTATTCTGCACCTTCCTCTTTGCAGATATGGTGTTGGTCCTAGGGAGCAATTACTATGCCAGAATTGTAAGCAGACAAGCACAGATAGGTTTTGACAGGTTATTTCCCAAGGTAATGCCTGACTGTTTCTGCCCTTAAGGCATTCCTCTTAGTAAATGAAGAGTTATGGTCCATGCTGCATTGCAAGTCAAACGTTCCCAAGAAGGAAGAGGGCAATGGGGTGGTATGGGAAGATGGAGAAGGGACTAGAAGGTGAAGGAGAGTCGGGGAGGGCACAAGAAAATCTCCTCCCATTCCTGCTTCCTTCCAAATACCCAAAGCTTAGCCACCAGAGGCTGGGAGCCAAGAATCTGCAACTTCACAGCTAGGAATAGCTGCATTAAAGCAAAGGGATTTTAGAGTTAGCTTTCACACAATTAAGAGGGTATATAAGCAGGTCTTGTCTTTTCCCACTGGAATTGAGCCTCACAATATTTTCCAAGTTCAGACATACCTGGCTTCTGAAATGATCCTGCTATACGCATAAGCCATACTGCTTTCTTGTCGTGACTTCCGTAACGCTAATCCTGTACATGATATCAGATAACACTGCACCCTGTTTTATGGGCTACAATTTAACCAATAGTCATTATAACTAAAAAAAGAACCAACTAAAAGAGGGAACCAAAGGCTGTCTTCACTATTCAAAGATGGCACTGCTGACCACTATCAATGGAAAATCCACCTTTAGTTATTTTCAGGCACAAGGATAGATTTGAACAAATCGTGTTGCCTCAGTTGAAATGACCTCTTCTGGTTTCATTTCTATCCATATTTCAGGCCCAGTGAGGTCCTATCACCTTTCACCAAGCTGAAGGACAACTCCATTTTTTTCTTCCCCTCAACTCCAGGATAACTGTCTATATTTGCCTTGGGTGCTTAATCAAGTACAGTCGTGAGCAACTCTTCTACCTCATTTCTTCACCTGTAGATGCAGCGACTTCCCGGCTCAACTATAAATTCCTCAAGGACACTGCTTGACTCTACTGTCCATTCCCTAAACCTTGAAATTTCTCTTCTTGGCTTAGGTCTCCTGCTTGCTTACTTTCTTCTGTCTCTGGGATCTTTTTGCTAATGCTGTAGTTCCAGGGTTCTGGCCTTGGCAATCTGTCTTATGCACTCTATAGGCTCTCCCCGGGACAGTATTACTCAACTCGTGGCTTCAGTGGCCACCACATTTTTCTCTTTAGCTGGATTGTGCTGCTGAGCTTCAGGCCCTTTTGTGCTTTCTTACTAGCGAACTCCAGGTGAGTGACCCAAAGTCATCTTGAAATTCATATGTCTAATCCTGACCCTATTGTCTTTCCCTTCACACCTGTTTTTCCTTTGGGACGTCCTGCTCGGGGACTAACCGCACTATCTGCCCAGGTCTTCAATTCAGAAGCCTGGGAGTCCAGTCTAGATTCCTCCCTCATTTTTACCCAGACAACTAAAGGTCACCTCCTACACAGCTCTCTGCTCTCTACTATTCTCATTATCTCTGTATTAACCCAATTCCTTAAGCCTTCAGAGTTCTAGTGACAGCCTTCTGTCTAACTGTTCACATGCCTTTTCTGGTCCGTCTTCCACACTTTTAAATTTTTAAAAAGGCACATTTATTACCCCCTCCTTGCTACTTCAACATAAAACTGAGACTTGTGCTCTCCTTCTTTCTCTCAGCTTATCTCTTGGAACCACATCCATTTTCCCTCCTACCTAGTATTTTCTAATTCTATGCCTTGCCAAAATTTTCACCAATGTGTCATGTTTCTTTTACTATATGCCTTTGTAGTTACTGCTACCTCTGTCTGGAACTCTGCTTCTTATCTTGGCCCTCCCACTTACTCCAAATGCTTCAATATACTTCAGGCCTCTTTCCTAGAAATCCTTGTCATACCCAGCCCATTCTACCCCCTGCTACTCCCAAAACACACATTATCTGTGTCTGTTTCAAATGGTGTATTTATTTTCCTGCATGTCATTGTTGGATATATAGACTGAGCTCCTGGAGGGTAGAAACTGTGCCTTTCTCACTTCTGATTACCAATCCATGGCACACAGTAGACCCTTAATAAATGCTGGCTGACTTAGAGGCAGCAAGTATGCATCATCCCTCTTAGGGTCTCTTTAGGCCTTAGCAGAGAGCAGACAGCATAAGTGATGCTGTCACGTGATTTAACTAGGTTGTGAAATTCTTAATCTGTCAAATGGCTAAGGGTTTCGTCTGTGTCTAGTGAAGTCAACTACCTCCTTTAGAGACTGTTGCAGGAATTCAATGAATTAAGTAAACAACAAAATGCAAAAAAGGAAATAGTTTTGCTACAGCAAAAGAGGACATTTATAAAAAATTTGCTGTTACTAACCTGAAAATAAACAACCGTAAAGTATAAAAGTAACAGAAGTTAAATAGCTTAATAAATCCAATGCAAAAATGACAGTTGCCTGAACACTTACTATTTCTAGGCATTTAATAAAATCTGCTCTTCACAACAATGTTATGTGGTGGGCATATCATTATTTTTAAAATCCCATTTTTACAGATGGAAGCAGCAATGTAAAGAGAGAGGTTTAACAACGTGCCAGGAATTGCACAGTAAATGAATAGTGGAGCTAGGCTTTGAACCCCAGAAGTCCAGCTCCAGGGCCCGTTCTCCTGCTCATTGTGTTAACTGGCTCTCCGCGGGAATTTTCTTTCACTGAGATTAACGACACAGTCCGCATTAATGTATACAATGAGACTTTAGTGTGGCAGTTCTTAATGCATTTCTTAAAATCACAATATAAAACAAAACATCCTGTCCTTATTATAAGTTAAAAAAACTTACTGTAGAAAATTTAGAATACGCATTATAAAAAGGCAATAAAATCATGTAATATCCAACTGCTTAGAGATAACCATAATTTATGTTTGTTGTGTATTTTATTGTAGTAATTTTTCTGTTTATGCTTTTCTGAAACATGGTTGAAACCATACTATATGTGAGCAGGGACCCCCCCATCCCCAAACCAGAATTATCTTCTGGAGAGCAGGCCCCTTATAGTACAAGCTTCTCCCACTGGGTGAGTGTTCTAGGAACACATCAGTATCAGTGTTCCAGCTGTATTTGGCGTCAGTGAATTTTTTTGAAGATACTTTCAATGCATTTGCCCATTTCATGGCAGGTGATTTACAAATGCAAACCCAAACCGGCATGACCCCTGTGTCCTACCATCCCTCTTCACCCAATCTTGCCCTGAGTGACCTTTTTTTTTATTTCCTGGATGGAAAAAAATCCTCAAAGGGCAGCGTTTTCCCCATGTAGAAGATGTTAAACCAAAAAATGGCAGAAGCACTAAACGGCATAAAAATTGATG